CTCGGAGGTAATGGAATCATTGTAATAGCAATGGAATCATTTGTAATAGCAAATGAGCAAAAATTGACCATTTGTAATAGCAGGTTTGGAAGTGTTCAAAGCTTGTGCTTAAGGAGTATTATTGGCATTCAATATAGTCATACGATATTAAGCAGATTTACAACCCTCTGTGCGGTTATCCCTGATCATCTTTATTTAAAAGTAAGTTCCGGCTGATGAGGTAGCTTAGTATCCTCATGGATTTTGGCTTGTTGGCCATCCCCAGCCAGAAAATCGGGCTCTGCTGGACACCCTCACACCTCTCCAAATAAACCTTAAATTTGCAAGGTGAAGTGGGGGGTGGCAGATGGCAGGAAGAGTTCAACTAAGAAGCTTACAAGGGCAGTTTAAAAAAAAAAATGTACCTGGGGTTTTGGTTTTATTCAGGTACGACGAGGCCAACAGATGAGGTGACTGCCATTGAGAGGACAGTTTGTCACAGTTCCCAAGAAAAGCAGGCATGTCAGAGCATACTGGGCCACCAGGGTCAGTAGGAGGCAGAGGAAAGAAGGGGAAGATGTGGGCAAGGGCCTTTATTATGGTTTCCATGGAAAGAACAGGCAAGACAGAGTAAGCAGCTTTAGGACAGCTAATTTGAGTCATTTCAGCAGGCTCTGTGGTATAGGGGGGTTTCCTAGACATGCAGTACCTGGCCCTGGAGTGATTCAGGGCAGGTAAATAGTGTTCTGGATTGCAGGAGCCTGATAAAAGGAAGCAGGTAGTGGCATGGGCTTAGGATTGGTTGGCTTGAATATCAAAGGCGAGCTCACAGGCAAGACGTTTACTGTCTCTAGGAATCAGCTGACCCTGGAAGGTTGAGCATCCCAAGTCCACAAGGCCCCAAGATGTCAAAGCATTGTAAAATACAGAAATTTTTTAAACAGCAACAACATGATTAATAGAAGCCTGTCTGAAACACTGCTATAAGAAACCTGAAAACAGAGCTTTTCAAACTTCACTGTCCCCAGGGATCACCCGGGTATTTTGTTAAACTGCAGATTCTGACTCATTCAATTAGGTAAAGGTTGAGACTTTGCATTTCTCAAACTTCTTGGTGATGTTGGGACCACATTTTGAGTAGTTAGAAGGGAAAATATCACTAAAGGTGTTCTCTCTGGCTCATCTTCTGTCAGGAAAGGGGAAAGATCTTACATACTGAGTCCTACCTTGAACCACACGCTGCAAGGCATTGAATATATATAGTTGGTCTTGGTTTGCTTTAAGGGCAGCCTTTGCTAGTGGGAAAATTATCCCAATTTATAGGTAAGGGAACGCAGGCTGGTTAAGTAACCTGCTCTAGGTCATTTAGTTAAAAGGCAGAAGACATAAATGTTATCTGGCCTAAAAATCCAACTTTCCCTCACCACAATGTAAGTACACATGGCACTGCTCTGATGGAAAATAAAAAGTCTGTTAGTAAAGGCTTCATAAAATATAAATCCCATGAACTTGAATAGTGGCCCATTTATAACTTGACTTCTGGAAAGAAGAGAAATTCAGAATGCTATTGATTATCCCACAATTAGAAGTAAATGGTGTTTATTAATAAGTTATTATTTTATCACAGCCTTCACAAAACACTTGAAATGGGATTCCCTATAAAACCAGTGTTTTTATTTAAAAAAGATACATACATGTACATGGTAAGATATATACAAGAAAAGGTTAGTCTTGCTCCTAGTCTCCTACTTCTACTGCTCACAGACAACTACTATGAAGTTTGTATAGCCTTCCAGAACTGTTTCTATGCAAATCATAAGCGTTTCTCGTATAAATTCATTCATTTGGTTATTCTAAGCACTTGGGGAAAAGCAGTAAATAAAACAGACAAAATCCTTTGTGTACATTATATTCCAGTATGAAGATAGCATCACAAATAAACAAATAAGTTATCGATTATGTCAGATGGGGACAAATGCTAATGGAGAAAAAGGGGAGAGGGGACAAAACGTTTTCAAGTACGAATTCAGTAGTTAAGGAAGGCCTCATTGGAAAGCTGACAGTTGAGTAGAGACCTGAAGGAGGTAATCCTATTCCACACTTACTCTTTTCTTTAACAGTATGTATTAAATGCTTCACCACAGCAGGGCTTACAGATCTTTTTCTTTCTTTCCTTCCTCCTTTCTTTTCTTTCTCTCTCTCTCTCTCTTTTTAAATTATACTTTAAGTTCTGGGATACATGTGCAGAATTTGTATACACGTGCCATGGTGGTTTGCTGCACCCATCAACCCGTCATCTACATTAGGTATTTCTCCTAATGCTCTCCTCCCCTTGCCCCCCATCCCCGAACAGGCCCCAGTGTGTGATGTTCCCCTCCCTGTGTCCATGTGTTCTAATTGTTGAGCTCCCACTTATGAGTGAGAACATGCAGTGTTTGGTTTTCTGTTCTTGTGTTAGTTCACTGAGGATGATAGTTTCCGGCTTCATCCATGTCCCTGCAAAGAACATGAACTTATCCTTTTTTATGGCTGCATAGTATTCCATGGTGCATATGTGCTACATTTTCTTTATCCAGTCTATCATTGTATCTATCTATTTATTTTGAGATGGAGTCTCTCTCTGTCACCCAGGATGGAGTGCAGTGGCATGATCTCGGCTCACTGCAACCTCTGTCTCCTGGGTTCAAGCCCTTTTCCTGCCTCAGCCTCCCGGGTAGCTGGGATTACAGGTGCCTGCCACCACGCCTGGCAAATTTTGGTATTTTTAGTAGAGATTGGGTTTCCCTATGTTGACCAGGTTGGTCTCAAACTCCTGACCTCAAGTGATCCACCCACCTCATCCTCCCAAAGTGTTGGGATTACAGGCATGAGCCACTGCCCCAGCCTACCTTATTCTTTTTAAAGTCTCCATTGCACTCCATTGTTTGCATGTGTCATAATATTGCTGGGCTTTTGTTATTTCCATAGGCGGATGTTTTAGATTAATCCTGTTATAGTCTGTTAGATGATCATTTGAATGGTTATAAAAGAGACTTGGGGCTTGTGATATAAAGCCTGATTAAATAGAAGGAAACCTAAACTAAGCATGGGAAGCTATGAATGAAAGTCCTAGCTGTGCTACGCTTGCTATTATCATTCAGTATTTGTGAACTTCCTTTTTTATTTTCCTGTTCTGGCCTCATGACAGGGTTTCCATTTTCCTGCCATATCTTAGGCTGTGCTGTTGTCCACCAGGCCCAGGGTCATATGTAGGTGATTCTTCAGTTGGAGACCTAAGTGACATCCTTCCCACAGCAACATCAGTGCCAAGTTACCTGTAACCTTGCAGAGTCCAATAAAAACTTGCAACCTTTCCACATTCCCCACGAAGGAAGTATAAGCAAACTTTTAGGTTGCAGTTTACCCTCTGGGCTCTGTGCATGCTCTCCATGCTTAGGAGGAAAGCACACGAGCTTCCTTAAAACAAAAACAAAAAGCCATACATTCTAGTGATGTTTACTTTCGCAGATAGAGATGTGTAGCACTGGACCATATGACAGAGTGGATTTCACCTTTAATGCAAGATTAATTTATCCAATTGATTAATATCTGAGGCGATCCCTGGCATATGCCAGCACTATGCCTGGCACTATAGGAGGAACAAATACCAGTGCAATATGGTTCTTGTCCTCTGGTGTTAAAGGCAATACAGCAGGAATGAAAAGAAAGGGGAGAACACTATTATCTGGCGTCCCTCAAAGATCCCTCAGAGAGCTTTTAGAGCCAACATGTAAACAGGTAGGGAAGTGTGCAAGGGATGGAGGTGCTACAAGGGGACCTTGGTAAAGGATAAGTGTATGTGAGTGTGTGTGTGTGTTAGGAATATGTGTGAATGGAAGGTGAACAATAATTGCACTACAAGCAAAGGCCCAGGTAAAGGAAAATACAGGTGTTGTATAGGAAACATGAAGTAGCCCTGCTTAGCTTAAAGAATGTGGGGAGTAGGTGTAGATGACAGGAAATGTTGATTGGAGTAAGACTGGCAGAGGGTCCTGAGTCCTACTTTGCTATTAGATAGGAGATAGATAAACGAGTTTTAAAAGATTAAAAAATTACCATCAGTTTCTTCCTCTTTTGTTTTTGCTTTATTTGGTGGGGGTAGGGGAGCATTGTGCATGTTGGTTTTATAATTTCTACTTCTTTTTCCAGTAATTTTTAAAAATCAGCTTAGCATTTGTTAAAGTAATATATGCCCATAGTTTAAAAAGGTGAATAGTAATACAAGGTCTATAATCAAAAAAGAATACTCCCTTCCCCCACTTTGCCTACCACTCCCCCTTCCTGCTTCTCAAGGGAAACTTTTTTTTGTTTTTTTTGCTTTTATTATGAAAGATGTTTATTTTCCAGATTATATAGGTAAGACTTTCGCTGCAACCAATTGTTCTTGGTTTGGTTAATCTATAGTCTTGTCCAGCACAGGAAAACTAGCACTGTCCAGCAACTGTAACTAGGAGGTTGAATTTCACCATGGGAGAGGAAACCACTTTGAACTATGTTATCCCTATACTTAAGTACTGTGTGTATACTAATATTTATTAAGTTATCATTTTTAGAGATTATCTGTCTTACTACTATGCAGAATGAGGAAAATTTAGCACTCTGATACTATCACATGCTCCCAAGTTTTCTTCCCTGATCTTTCCAGTGGGTTAAATAGCAACTTGGGGTTAAACTGATATTCTAGTTTACCTTACTATGACCATATAATATTGTTTACTACCGAGACAAGTAGTAAAAGAGTATGTGTTCGATGTTGTTCAACATCTTATTTTTCCTGGTGTTGTCTTTTATTTTGCTTACCTCTTTTGTGTATCTATCATGAACTGTTCATGAACTATCCAAAATAACTACAGAACTTATATTGAAACCATTTTTTTTTAAACAATTAGCCCACTGGTTAGGCTCCTGGATCTCTTTTTCCGTGGAGGAGCCTCCCGTCCAGCCCCTCTGGGGTCTAGGGGTTTTCCAGGCCAGATGCCCACCTGTTGTCCTGGGACTTCTTTTTAACACCATCTTGCGAAATCCCTGTGCCTCTCTCCTGTGTTGGAGCCCCCGTTTCCTGGATCCCATGGTTTCCTCTTTGTTGGTTTACATCCTCATTTTTGTAGAGCACATTCTCTAGTAGCTTCCTGAGAAAAGGTACATGGGAGGTGAATTTGTTGAGACCTTGTGTGTCTGAAAATGTCTTAATGCTACTCTCATACTTGTTTGTGAGTTAAACTTCTAATTGAATTTTAAGTAAAATGTAATTTTCCCTCAAAATTTTTAGGCTGTACTTCATTGTCTTCTAGCTTCCAGTCTTGCAGTCTCAGGCCACTACTATTCTTTTTACCAAGTATGATCTTTTACATGTGACCTGTGTTACTCCTCTGGAATGTTTTGGAATCTTCTCTTTAATCCTGGTATTCTGAAGTCTCAGAGTAAAGAACCCTAATGAGCTAACGAGAATCTTTTCTTACCCATCATTTTGGGCACTTTATAGTGTCTCAAAATCTGGAAAACAGCATTGTTCCATTTTGACAATTCTTCTTCTATTATTCTTTAGTACTCGTCTCTGAACCATTTTTTTCTTGTTTTCTCCTTCTGGCATGCCTGTGGTAAAACGTGGAACCTCGTGGATTAATCCACTACATTTCTCACCTCACCCCATCTCCATCTAATATGGTTTGGCTGTGTTCCCATCCAAATCTCATCTTAAATTGTAGCTCCCATAATTTCCATGTGTTGTGGGAGGAACCCCGTGGGAGATACTTGAATCATGGGGGGTAGTTTCCCCCATACTGTTCTCATGGGAGTGAATAAGTCTCATGAGATCTGACAGTTTTATAAGGGGAAAATCCCTTCTGCTTGCTTCTCATTCTCTCTTTGCCTGCCACCACGTAAGATGTGACTTTGTTCTTTCCTTGCTTTCTGCCATGATTATGAGGCCTCCCCAGCCATGTGAAACTGTAAGTCCATTAAACCTCTTTTTTAAATAAATTATTCAATCTTGGGTGTGTCTTTATCAGCAGTGTGAAAACGTTTGGACTATCTACTTTCTAGAAAGTTTCACTTCTATACCTCTGAATCATTTCATATTCTTCTATACGTTTAATTTCCAATACCTCCTTATTTTCTAATTGTTCCTGTTCTACAGAATACTTTTTATTTTATATATACAACAGTGTCTCTCATCTCTCTGAAGTTACTATAGGTTTTTAAAAGCTTTTCATTTGCTTCCTGAAATATCTGTATCTTCTCTGAGCCCCTTTAGCCCCTTTCTCTGTTTTGATCTCTATATTTTATTCTATATTTTATGTTAGTGGATATCCTCAAATATCGGGTGGCCCTTCATTACTCATTTATATTTAAGAAATATATATATTTATATCATATATATACATTATATATGAAACAAATAATTCATTTATATTTAAAAACGGTGGGTCCAGTTTCCAAGTTAAACCCTGAGTGTAGACAGGGTGTGCTTTTTCCTGGACTGGCATCCCTCTGAGGTAACAGAGTGGGGAATCTTACCATTTCAACAGGGACTCTGCCAATCAGTCATTTTCTGGACTGAATTTCTGCAGATAAGAATCTCCAAACCCTTGCCTAAGGAGCCAGTCCCTAGCTGTAGGTTCCCTGGGAGCTATGTCAGGGAATAGTCCAGGAGGGTTTCACCTGTTCTTTCGGTGGAGTTTCATCCTCTCTCCTGGGCCTAATCCCTGAGTCCAGAGTATCTCTGATTCAATGTAGCCTAAGACTATCCCTGATGCTTCACACAGGGATGGGGAATTGGTAGTGGCAGTGTGAGCTAGGGAGGGCAGGGCCTAACTACTCCATATACTATGCTGCTCTGAAGCTCCTGGCAATCGATTCTCCTTTTTCCAGTCTCAAGACTCCAAAGCCTCCGCAGCGACCCGTGTATGAATGTGAAGACTTCGCTCAATGCACCTCAGCTATTCCTCCTCCATCACCGCCGTCTTCCACAAATTGCCTGACATCTCACGTTCAGTAGCCTCTCCTCTGTTTGTTCTGTCTCATTTGCTTTGTGTCCCTACTTTATGGGTTTTTTTTGTTTTTGTTTTTTGGAGACGGAGCCTCCCTCTGTCACCCAGGCTGGAGTGCAGTGGCCCGATCTCGGCTCACTGCAAGCTCCGCCTCCCAGCTGGAGGAGCTGGGACTACAGGCGTCCGCCACCACACCTGGCTAAGTGTTTTGTATTTTTAGTAGAGACGGGGTTTCACCGTATTAGCCAGGCTGGTCTTGATCTCCTGAACTTGTGATCCACCCGCCTCGGCCTCCCAAAGTGCTGGGATTACAGGCGTGAGTCACTGCGCCTGGCCGTTTTTATTTATTTATTTATTTTTATTTTTTATTATACTTTAAGTTCTAGGGTACATGTGCACAACATGCAGGTTTGTTACATATGTATACATGTGCCATGTTGGTGTGCTGCACCCATTAACTTGTCATTTACATTAGGTATATCTCCTAAGGCTATCCTTCCCCCCTCCCCTTGTTTTTTAAAATTCCTTACTAATTTCAGTGAGATTTATTTTTTATTATTTACTAATTTTAGTGAGATTTATTTTTTATTCTTTATTAATTTTAGTGAGAGTAATTTTAGTGAGATTTCTGGAACAGGAATATATGAAAGCATGTGTTCAATCTAATAAAACCAGAAGTTTCTAGTGTTATACATTTTATTTTGTAGTTATGTGTACTTATGTATTTTGTTTTGGTCTAGTTTGTTCGTCCAGAGAACTTTATGAGTTACCTGAAATCAACTACTAACCACCTCACAACTACTTTTAAGGAGGGTATTGACAAAATCATTTTACTTCTTTGTTATTTTTTAGGGATTATCAGGCAAAGTCAAGTTGACTTTCCATAAATTTTATCTTTATCCAGATAACAACATTTTGTTATCTTGGCTGCAGAAGTTTGGACAAATAATCAATTTGAGGTAGACGCACATCAATTTATCAAAAGAAGGAAGGAAGAATATAAGGAAGAGGGAAGAAAGAAAGGAGAAAGGGAGGGAGGGGGGAAGGAGAAAAAGGAAACAGACATAAAACATTTTAAAATAGAACAGCAGGAAGACTGGCCCAACTAAATACCTATACTAAGCAAAGCTATGTACGTTCACTAAGTAAGAGGAGAAATTTCAGAAAATCATCTGACTTTAAGATAATTCCAAACAATGATCACTGACTTGGAAGGCAGTTAAGGAATTTATGTCATTGAATGTTAATGGTCAAACTACATTTTATCATTCAACAAAATGTACACAAGTGCATATGAAAAGCAGTACAGCCTGCAACAAAACCTATCATATAATAAATTCTCACAATTACATGTCCAGATCAACTTTTAACTATATACTGACTCTTATCGCTCTGAATATATCTACTTTTTGGCTCAAGAATGTATGCATATATGTATGTACCAAGGTATATATGTGTGTATTCCTCCCCTCATCTCCCAAAGAAATTTATGTCTGCTTGCAGGTAATCCTTTTACTTGAATGTATGTTTATTTTCCTGATTATATTTCTTATAAATTTGTCTACCACAAATTATGTAGTCTTCTATCCTCTGTCATACTCAATTGTGGACCAACAACTTTTTTTAAAAGTTAACTATGTTGTCAACAACATCACTTCCAATGCAGCCATCATCATATCTTTGAGCTTAACAAGATGCTCAACTTTACAGTCAGACTGACCTTATTTTAAATCCCCCACCTTCCATTTACTAAATAAACTCCCCAATAGGAAAATTGACATATTCTCTGTTTTGCAGGATTTTATGAGAATTAAATCATACAATGCATATAAAGAACCTGGCATATTGTAGCTACCCAATTTAAAAAAAGCTATTCAAATCAGAATATGAGATGATATTGAAACCTTAAGCCCTTTAAAAGTACATCTTTTCCAAGTGACTAGTTTTTCATTTCCATTTTTAGGCATCACATCACTGGTAAGCTGGTCACCTGGAAGCAAAGCATCAATTAGCCACTAAAAAGGGGTGTGCAGAGCTCTTATAGAAAATTAAGAAAATCATTATATTGATTATATTGATATATTGATTATATTAAGAAAATCAATATATTGATATCTACTTTTATATAAGTAGGGGAAAGGGAGGACTGGACAAAAACAATAAAAGAAAGTATTTGTCCCAAAATCAATCAGTTTCTTGACCCCTTTGGAATTCTATTTGTTAACTACAAAATTAGGAGACTAGATGAAGTCCCTCCGAGTGTTCATGACAAAGAGTTCTGTGGTTAGATGATTTTGAAACATACCTTGATCATCTCATGCCTCCCCCTCCCCCATTCTTGAAGCTCTGAAACACATATGAGTATATTCAAGGCATCGGTCCCATTTTGTTTTACCTTCTATTATACAAACTTACTTGACTACAGACTCTCCCCCTTTTTTCTTTTGTTTCAGGTAATATTTATTGACATACTTTGGAAAAGACTGGATGAGATCATCTCAACTTCCCACTCTAACATATGTTTCTCTGAGTTTCTACAACTTCAGCTAAATGTTTTAAGGAAGAAAAGGAAAACAGAATATGTTATAAATTTTATTGATTGATGCTTTCTCCTATAGCAGCATACAAATTTTAGAATGGGAGAAAAATCTATTATGATTTCAATGAAATGAGCTACTTTTTAAGTATAGCTTAATATCTTGTCCCTATGTGGTACCATCAACATTTTAGACAGATGAACACCAAACCATTGACTGAATTGCTGCGTAGTGGATTTTATTTGAATATAAAGACAGTTAAATGACCGGGGTACCTCTGGCAATTTTGGCAATCAATGAGTAACATGAATCAACTACGTAGTGGTCAGACTGGCTACCCAGTGATCAATCAAAACAGAAAATAACTGAGATAAATTAATCCTTAGGTTGCCCATGATATCAGCATAAAACTCAAATGGACATTCATGATGAAAAAATTTTAATGCTATAGTTATACAACAAACTGCTAAAAGTATTTTTGTTAGCAAAACACTTTCATTTTTCTATCAATCTAACAACACTTATTTTTATCTGAAAGGAGGGTACTATGCTAATGTCACTGGGACTAAAAGGATGTGTAGTAGGAAAAGGGCCAAAGATCCT